AAAAGAAAAAAAAAAAACTTTTCTTTTCCTTTTTTTTTTTTTTTTTTTTTTTTGGTACCATCAATGATGGGAGTAGGGGAGGTGCTGATAAGCTGATAAGAGCAGACACCTCTCTACCATCCCCGCTTGTTAGATGGCTCCGTTCCATTGGTGGGGAGCTGCACCTGCTGGAAAACTGGTCCAGCATCCCTTTACATCATAACAAGGAGCCAGATGATATGTTATACATGTCGTTATGTCAAGTTATATATGATGAGCACCCTTGATTGCCCTATTTGCAAGGGGATTAACTGACCATCTGTCTCAGAGAAGGACTAACACGTATCTTCAACTACTATCAACTATATCATCTACCTCTATTGCATTAACGCGCTAAAATTCCACCCTGTCCCTGCCACGTGGCAGAATTCCAGCTGTTACACCCCAGCCTTCTGCACGAGTGAAGCATCCCCGAGCCTCTCCTGGGTAGGTGGTATCTTTTTTTGATTGTAGATGACGACCAGTATTAATTGCCCTCAAATGAGAGCATTAACTACCCATCAGACTGCACAGTGGACTAACCTTTCCATAACAGCAGCCCGTCAATTCATCTAACCACCTACAAAGCCCTAGTGAGAGAGAGCCTCCAGACCTCTCCTATTCAGAGAAACTCCCAACTCAGCCTCCTCACCCCCCACACGTCAGTTCGCTATTATTATATATGCATTATCAAAACAATGACCACCACGAACCAGTGCGCAGTCCTGGGGCTATTGACCAAGACCCCACTCAATCGCCCATAATTTTCCAGAAAACCCCTAAGGGTGCGGGCGGTGTTGTAAATTCCAGCGGTGGGAGAGAATCTCCCCCACAAGCAATGGGACGATGTCCCTCCACTTTCCCCGTGGGAACAAACAGTGTAGAGGAGAGTATTTCAATCAACCCATCCCCTGCAACTACCCTTACTTTGGCGATGAGAAAAGTGAACCTCGTGATATCAAACAGGCATCGAGGGTAAGAACATCACAATATTATTCGTTGTTATTTAATTGTGATCGTCTACTCAGGAAGGAGGAAGGAAGATATTTCCTACGGCCTATTATACATCTGAATCATTGTTATTGTTGTGTAATTAGCAGGCCTTGTGAGCTGCTCCCTGGGTGCCCAAAGATAGGCAGTGCGTGCTGAGATGGCAAAAACAGGCCACCACCCAATCCCATCAGTTCATCCCCCAAAAGTTAAACCACTATCCATTCCCAGGGACTTTGCCCTCCCGCCCCCTTTAGTCCAACCTAACCTACACCCAATCTCGCTCTCCCCCAAGGCACCCAGGTTTCAGCATATTACAGTGGCAAAGGATGGCAGGATCAACATGAAGCAAAGAGGCGCAGAGAGCATCTCCAGCACAGGAAACCGCACATGCAACGAGTTGTCCGCGTGATCCGTGCCCATGGTCGGCCGTATACTTCATCGGACGAGCAACTTCCCCGATCGGGGTGTCAGAGCACATCCACAGGGAAGAAATTTGATGCACCGTAATAAGTGGAATTTGTCCCGTGTTTTTCGTCGCAACCTTCTGGGAGAGTGCAGGGTCCAATTGATGCTTGCCGTCCCTATCCTGCCTCTGACTGCTGCGGGGACCTTTGTCCACCTCACCGTGAGGGTCTGAAACCCCAGCGGCCGTCCCGCCAGGCGCCTGACCCATCACCACCCCAACCGTGTCAGTCGTCTACAGATTCTGCATATGAAGGCAATCCTGTGTCTGACCGCCACGTGGAGTGTTGTCCAGCATTCCTTCAGCCTCCCGGTTGTCCTGATTCAGTATCATGTCGTTGATCAGGCAGCTGCAGTGTGACCCTTGGATTGTGACAGGGCAGCTTTCATCCACCGGTGAGTTGTCGATGGTGGTTGCCGCCTGTTGTTTTTCTTTTCCATGTGTTCGGGAGTAGGATATTTCAATGTGTTTTCTTGGAGGACGGAAGTGAAATGTTCTGTTAGTCCTTTGAAAAAGTTTGTACAGGCAATTGAAAGTGTACGTGGAGCGTTCAGAGTAACGTCTACATTTTTTTTTTTTTTTTTTTTTTTTCCATAGTACATGAAAATGGAAGGGAAACAGTCAGTAGTCTTGCCAAACTGATGGAGAGCCGTGTGCTTTTTTTTTTTTTTTTAGGGTAACGTCTACCTTTCGCAATGCCGTTGAGGTTTTGGAGGGAT